ACACAGTGTCCACTTCTCAAACGAGCTACAGAAAGAAAACCGTATTAAAAGAACGTACCTTTGTTGGATTCTTTCTTTGTTATTATCAGATGAAGTATCAAGCATTGCTGCTGCTTCTTTGAGAAATTTTCCTTGTACGGTAATCGCAGGGAATGAGGCCGGTAAATTGCCCGGTCGTGGACAGGCATGTACCAATGGACTGATCAGCCAGTAGGCCGTGATATCTTTCAATCTAAAATCTCATTTATCACCACACCAACTACGGTGTTTATCTATTACCACTCCAAGACGATTATAATATTCTGTGGAAAATTGTTTCTACGTGAGCGTTATTTTAATAAAAACATTACTACTTAGAACCACAACTAACAGTTCAAAAGTTGTAAAGTAATATTTGTGCAACGACAGCTAAATGTACGACTGACTAATACTTTATAAATTATTGCTAAAAATCTGAAAACTTGCGGAAAACTTATTTAAAATAATATATGTTGAAATCTAATAACAAGTGTACTGCTCAATGAGTTTTTTAATGTTTATTTTTTCTCAATTCTTCAAAATGATTGGGCAAGGACATTACCAACCTGAAAGCTTTGCCGACGGCAGCAGGTGGTAATTTTTTATCAGATTTATGTGACTGTGTAAATAAATCTCGACAACATTTACCAATTTCACCAAGCAGTGCATCCGCAGCAATTGCACCTTGCTGAGCATGCTTAGTTGTGCAACCTTCCGGTGAAATCTATAACAGAAAATTTGTTATTAATCAGTATTGTAAAATCATCTTTCTTGATCAATTAATTTTTCCTTTCTAAAGACAATTTTAGGTATAGAAGAATAATATATTAAGAGTTTTGACAATGATAGCTCCTTTCTCTTTTTTTCTTGAGATAATGAAAACAGCTTTTGAGAGTCATTTTCAATGTTACTTTAGATAATTAATGTACACATGTCCATGAAGAACTTCTTTCTGACAAAATATAAACAAATGCGGATATATAAAAAATCAAGAGATGATCTATAAGAAAATAGTGTGAATGTCCTAAAGAGATACTAAAATTTTGTACCTCTCGAATCATTAATTTAAAATCAAAATAAGTTGCTCGCGTATTCCATATATTCAAAACATTGAGCAGTTTATCGATCAGTGATTTTTTACTATTTCCATTACAGATAGTTAATTCACGTACTATTTCACGCTCACTACGTCTTCGCAAAGCCATACGTAATAATTGTTGACCCTGAAATTATGGACGAAAAACATTCACCCAATTTTAACGACAGTGGAATTCCCAAGCAGAACATGAAATATCAGCCAACAGACTTCCCGCACTTTAAATCGCCTTATCTTGAAATGTAACTCATAATACACCGAAACAAATTTTATGCACAAACCAAGCAGTTTTTGCGAAGTTGATGAGAGGAGAAACAATCCATTGCACCATCTTCACATCTTCTATATATTCGCTGTGTAACCCATTCCTGCTCGCACATTGCCATTAGTACTCCTTTCGATAGTTCCGCTATGTACTCACGACGAAATGCACGTTGATCAATCGGTTTACCACTGCCAACAAATAACACTCAGAAAAAGGACATTTAGGACATTCAAACATATTTTCTGCATCTTCGAACAATAAAAAAAATGTAAAACAAGAGGGCTTACTCATCTGAGTACCGATCTCTCAATTTATGCTTAGTATAATCAGCAATCATACAAATTGTGACCAATAGTGCACAAACTTCATCGCCAACATCATGCAAATGACTTTCCGATAAGATCCACCGATCTGCTTTACAAATGTTCGAGTTGATTCGATCACCAGTATATTGTGATGAAACTGCAACCCATAGAAATTATTTAAGATACCATCTTCTCTACCGTTGCTAACACTTTTACTGCTTGTTCAATTCAATTTCTACTACACATACAACTTACGAATGATGGGCTGATCACTTTGGCATATGATATTAGCTAGCACCAGAAGTGCCAAACAAACACCGGCCTCTGCGTCCGCATCCGATACTTTACCTATAAAACAAAAAAACGATCAAAAATTGCCAGAAAATCATTGATTAAAATATATTAAAATTATTTTCTTTAGAGATTTCCCTATTACGGCCCTACGAACTATCAATACTACTTGCCAGCAGCTTGCAGGTTAGTATGTCATTATTGAATTAAAGGAGATGACTACTTAAACCTTTTTTGAACTACAAGAAATGATTATATTAGTCGTTTGGTCACGAGAAATGTTGAATAAAATATGGAGGCAGTTTATGATACTGTTTTAAACACATACGTTTGCATCAGGTCTCATAGCTGTTGACTGGACATAAGTAATCTATTTATACTAATACAGATTTGTTAACAAAGTTTTTTTGAGTGCTCTTTGTTTGCAGTGACAAACCGATTAACGTAAATTTCGTCATGAGGATACAGTGGAAATCGGTAATATCTCGAACAGCGATGCTGTTTCAAATTTCTAACTCCTCGTTAATTTCTTTATATTTCTGGGAAATAAGTAAACATCTATATATTGATAAATTTAGTTTTAGTTTGACTACCATTGTGCTTGTAACCAACCAATTCCACAATTAAGTAACGATTTCAGTGCTGTATGCAGTAATTGATGAACCAGTGCATTTATACTGAAACAGCTACGTCCCGCCAGCAACATGTAGAACGTAGCAATATTGTAGTGACATGTTGAATCTTCCACCTGCATTTGAAGCATGAATATTACAAATAATCATTTCTTTTTTCAAATTCTAGAAATGCAAAAAAAAATTCATACCCTCGTTTCTCATAATATTATTAGAAAAGCATAATCAGTCAAAAATTCCTCTTTTGGATCATTTGACAAATTAATTTAAAATATCTCCAAAAAACTTGCAAAAGATTTTATATCTCCAAAAAACTTGCAAATTTGAAAACATTTACATTGATTTCCATCAGAAGATCCGGGAATGCCGAAGTTCCACCTTGCAAACTTGAACAGCACAGTGCTTGAAGAGCACCACACCAATCTAAATATTTCTCTGCCTGAGCTGCTTGAGCACTAACATGTCCACAAATATTTGCCAATTCAACCAAACGATCCTGAAAGATCTGTTTATAAATTACGTTCCAACATACCAACATTTTTTCATAACATCTTTCTAGAAAAAGATCTTTTCCGTTTTGCCTAGTTTAAAATCTCCACTTTGAAAGTTTTTTAATCAAAACAACATCTCAATTTGATTGAACATCAAATATATTAATATCAGAAATACAATTGACAATAAATGAATGAAAGACCCCTGTAACTCTTTCCATTGTTGTTGCACCAATTCCCGTACTATCATTCCCAGACGCATTGCTAACTCCGCGTACTGCAGCAAGCAGTGCGCTCACAACAAAACTATATCGTGCATCATCCGTGCCATCGATAACTGCATGCAAGCGGCGATATTCATTAAAGGAAAATATACGCCTAAAAATAATAACTTCAAATTGATATAACATTAGTGTACAAAAAAAAAAAACAAAAAATGTAGAACTTCCAATGAAGTCACGTTATCTACCTCTCTCAGTAAAGACATTAATAAGGACTGGACCTATTTTGCATCTATCCAAGTAAACGAATTTCGAACCTTTCTAGATAAACATTCTAAACAAACAAACTTCGGTTCCTCGAGCAATTCTTTGAAAGTGCTAGCATTGTAGGCATATCGCTGTCCTCCACACGGATTCCTGTCGCCTGTACTGTGTGTTGGTTTCCAAGGCGGTATCACCCGTTTTAGCAGCTCGCGTTTTGCTTCAATTTTATGACTACACAAACCTACAATGAATTAAAAAGATAAAAACAGAGACCAGTCAATATGAACTATTTCAAAACTTAAAGGATATTGAATCAACAATTAATCGCGAACCACTTTCGATAAGTTGTTTCTTTGCATCGAGTACAAAAACAGCAATAGTACGTCCCCACCCCGTTAGACATGAATCTGATGATTTCAACTGACTTTCAATAACTCGATATAGCCTGCAAGCACTTTATAAGATGTTGATAAACAATCACCTCATTTATAACAACAGTTTTAGTATAACCAATACTTCGGAAATGATTTCAATTTTGTGCTAGGACAAGACTGTATATATAGACTTTATTGGAGAGAATTATGGAATTAATTACTGATGTTTTTAACTATCTCTTGGCTAGGCTAATGACGGTCTAACTTCTTCATTTTCCAATTAATACTTGGCACGATTTCTCACTTTTTAAGTGTATATATTTATTGATTCAAAACAATAAAAAAAGAAAAACACCAGCAAAACCTACCCTTGTACAATGTTGGATGCATTTTGAGAGTACAAAAAATAATAATAATTGTGGGAAATATATGCAGTTAGAACGTAACCAAGCTGAGCTGATACATTACTTGGAACACAGTCAACACGACGCTCCAGAAGTACCCGTTCAATTAATACTAATAGAGGTAATAACTGAAATGTATATAAATACATAATTGGATTTTTTTCTAGAGTCTTGAATCTTTTCTCAAAAAATAAATGCGATATAAAAGAGAAAAAATTCTTTTAAACATCTGAACTACGAGTTACTATTGTCATTATTCCAACCAGCAGATGGCTTAAAAGCACCGACGGGATATCATACTGACATCACGAATTTCTTTTCAAAGGGCTCATCCGCGACATTCACCAACGATTCAAATTTATGCGAAAGGTGCTAGGCGACTAAACAGCCTTGAAAAACAAACAAAAAAATGTGAAACAGCTGACTTCCTCAGCGAATTCCATAATGCCAGCAACATTCTGCGCCAGCTCACACATTTCTAAAACAATATCAAGTCCCTCAGCAGTAGGTAACACACAACTATGACCATCAACAAAATCCTGCACCATCTGAATAAACGATTCACAGCACCAACCACAAAGGACGAGTTGATCATAATATGTACATGATCTGTAATTACATCAAATTGTTCATTAAGTAAATTTGGTAGGTGCTTAATAACCAACGGAGAAAAAAGGACTAAACGAGGACGAAAATGAACAACATATCTAATTAAGTTCCATATCGAAGAATGCTTATTGTAAGTATACAAAATAGTGATGAGTGTGACTTATAAATGAGTAATGTCACCTAAATTTGGTCATGCTTTCTCGAAGTTGTTCACGTGTAGCTCGTTTTTTAAATCGAATTTCCAATGGTTTATTGAAAGAAAATTCAATAACAATTCGCTTTTGCCAAAGTTTTGACAGTTCACGTGCTAAGCGCCTCAACTCCAGTTTTACAGCATCACGTTCCGCACTAATTCCGTATAACAGGAGAGATCTACACACAAAAAAAAATTAATTCTGAACTTTTTTATTGTGGCAATTTGTCGCTAAAATTCACAATTATAAGCAGGAAACTTTTAAAAAAAAATTATTTGGCACTATTCATTGTTAGAGGAGCTGATAAACCAAAGATTACCTTTGATTGCATTCACTTCTGTATTCGGCTGACTGTGGAATGGGTAAATGTATCAACAATCGTTCATGAATTGATAAATCTTCCCACAAATATGGATGCTCGTCAGGCAAGTCAGTCGGTATTGTCACAAGTGGAGGTGATGTCGCTGCTGCTCCCGCTAAAAGCGCAGTAGTTGCTTCACTGGGTTGAGACGTAAATGTTGAAAATAACGTAGATGTATTGGATGTCTGCTGAAATTTTTGTGACTTCTTCTGTAGAAAAAGTAGGCCTACATTATGCAAACTGAAAAACAAAAAATTATTCAAATTGAAAACAACTAAAGGATATCTGAAAGCGTACAAAGAAATTCGCTTTTTGTTTATCTTCTTTCCGCTTCCTGATTTTCTGCATTAATGGTATGTATTCTAACATTTCACCAGTCCGAATCAATTCCTTCACATAGAAATCATGGGAAAAAACACCGGCACGTTGCAATTCAATGAATAGTAACATTAGATTAGCAAACTCTTGACAAAAACGGTCTTTGTCAGTAGTTTCCGGATCCGGCCCTTCTGTCACAAGAAATTCCAATAATATTTCTTGCAGAGTTAATGAACCTACAAAAAATACCGGTTTTTGAAGAGAAAAGGGCTTTAATTACATACTAAATTTTCGAATATATCATTGCATGAATTAATAACATTTAAAAAACAGTTTCACTGCTGAGAATTCATCTGGTATGAGTGTGTCAAACCGGCATTAATACAATAAACGACATTGCTTGTTTCCTCTCGAAGTTAATATAAGGCTTTCACTTATGCAGCGAAGCTAGCAGAAGAAGAACTCAGATGAATTATATAGCTAATAATTTCAAAGAATCAGTATCTCAAATAGTATGTTTCATGAACTAACTCAAAAATATACCAAATTTGAATGTTTTTCGGTGATTAATCCGGAATGCAAGTAACTGAGAGACGAGCATTGCACGATGAGTCCCCTCTCTTTCCATTGTTACTGCCCATTGTAGAAGCATTTTTACACGGATTGCATGTTCGTGCTACAAGGCAACATTTGCATGAAAAATTATAAGACAAACAAATAAAATGAGGCAAAAATTTATAATAAGTAAAAAATGGATAAATTATACAAGAAATATCAAGCTTACCTCAAAGCTTTCTTTGGAGGGTCCATTAAAAATTATTGCATAAATTTTTTCGATGCAGTTTGGTTGATCCAAACGTGCTGCATCAAGTACACCAACAATTTCGAGACATTGCAAAACCATAGCTGCTGTAATAAATGTGAGTGCGTGGATAGAGATAATGATAACAAACAATGAACTGAAAATCAAAGAAAATGAATCTTAAAATCCTTTCTTTTCTTTCTTTCCGCAGAAAGAAATGTAAACAAAAGAAACCTGAAAAATGATCGTGCAAAGCAGCTGATTTAGAAAAACAGATATTGAAGGATATAACTGAGATATAAACAAACCAAAGCCCTTCTTCTGTGCATAATTCAATGACCATTTATTTTCGCACGCACGAGAACGCCGGCGTACCTCAGCCAGTCGAAGCTGAATAAACTCCTGCAATCGCTCAGTGCCGTGACCCGGCGGCAAAGGAAGACTTTCGAACGGACAAGGTAGATGATCCAGTGGTGAACCGCATAACTGGTGAAGCATTGTAGGTGGACGTCCGGGTGATACTACAATACAAAAAATAAAATAAAAAAAAATTTAGTCTGCTAAAATGATTAATGTTTCGAATTTTCCAAACCCTGTTATAATTCATGAATTTTGACAAGATTATAATAACTTGTATTATAAAATTAATGAAGTGGCAAAATTATAACTTCAAAAAGTGCACCTATAATCCATGGTACATGAAATCTATTAAAAACAAACACAGCTCACCTTCATATTTATTCCATATCAGAGCAGCAGGACAATCAATTAGTATAGCATACAGCATACCACAAAGTGTCAAAATTATTGCACGCTGATGAATGCATTGCTGCATGTCATCAAACAGCTCGATACAATCCACCAACCTTAAAACATTCTACCATTTAATAAAATAAGAAAGAAATAATGACATGAACTTACTTTTTTCCTAATCGATAGAAATATAGAAATTCTGAATATGTCGCGTACTTTTTTTTCCCAAGAAATATAATGCAGAATTATTCTTTACCACAATTCAAGATTACCAATAATATTCTATGCGGATATCAATATATAATTCATATGTAACAAAATTAGTTATTCAAAAACTCAAGTATGGGGAAAAATATGACGTCGTTAAACAAACCTGCCTTCCCGCTCCTCAGCTTCGTCTCGATACAATTCCAATCTGTGGCATACCAAAAATGAGCATCTTTTCGATAAAACTATATTCTGTGTAATTTGATCCGTGTATTGACAAATAAATAAAAGAAAAAGACGGAATAATGTGATGTAATGGGATTGATTGCTGTTTGAAGCAATTCCGGATCCTATAATGAGTTCTTAAAAATCACAGTAACTTACTTGACTTGCAGTAACTGACAGCACACAAACTGCACACTTACCATGGTGCAAAAAAGAATGAATCGATGACTTGTCATTTCGACGATTTTCAATGGGCTGCACAAACCGATCATTGAATATGTCCAGTAAGTCCATCAAAAATTCCTGTTTCTCGACCATCCCATCCTGAAAAACGGTCAGGATGACGAATACTCATTTGTAATTTAGTATGTGATTATACTGGTAATTTTTTTTATTGTTTTATTAGTGTTTCAGAATAATTCGCCATGCATTCTAATTTCTAATTCTAATTGTTTTAACGTCTTTTTTTGGTTTTATTCTTTTAATGTTTTAAATTTCGTTTCTTTAAAGGATATTTGAAATTTCATTGAACTGGATTAGTGCCCAGGTAATCAAAATTTATTTATTCGGAATATTGACTTTTTTTCTGACTAATTTTAAATTTCTCCTTTTGGTAAATTATGTTATTTACAACGTTTTTATAAAAGATATATGTTTGGCACATGGATTTTTTATTACGTATTACGATGCTAAATTTTTTGGATTTTTTTTTGATTTGAAAAGAAAGTAGTTTATTCTTAATGCTTTGGTGAATTTAATAAATAAGGAGCATAAATAACCTAAAGAGGCGTGAGTTGTAGTATAACAGAAGAAAACTTCTTTCTATTTTTGAAATTTTTATTTTTTTCGCTCTCGATTCGTTTGGGTCCCAATAAAGTTGGTTATTTGGTCATTGAAATTTGGCAGAGAAACTTGAAGAGAGATATGAGAAGACATGAAACTATTGGATAATTTATACAAATTTGCTAAAATGCATGGTAGAATACACTTACCTCGTAAGCATGTTTACAAATGTACACAAAATGCGGCCACCGATCGGTATAAACAATATTTGATTCTAGTTTGGCGCTGTCGTTCATTTGATTAAGCATTAGTTTTACATATTTCGTGAAAAGTGATGCGAGTTCTGAAATATCAAGGGGATTTCATAAATGAAAGATAAAGCAATTACTTCTTACTCTTCAAATAATGCTCCTCAAACAATTCCACAAACTATAAAAATTTCGCATAAAGCAATCTTAATTAATTAATATTAGCATCAGACACATATGTTTGCAGAACCACTCTAGTGCTATTGTGTATGCTAAAACTAAAAAAAATATCCGAAAAGGTTTGTACCGGAAGCCAATTGGTCAGTAGTGGATTTCTTCTGCTTATTAACGTTGCTACTACATCCTTGACCACCAACAGCAATTACTTTTAGAAACCATAGCGCTCGATTAACCGGTACTTTATAATCACACAAGTATTCCAACGCATCCTCCTGCGATAGCTTTATTTAACAACGATATACTACAAGACATGAATATGAACTTGAACCACCGAATGAAGTCATTTCATCCTTGTTGTCCATTTTATTAATCACTGATAATTATTAACTTATATTTGACTTTAAATACAATTCTATGCAAGTGTTTACAAATAATCGAAACTATTTATCAAAACCTCCAAGATTCCGAAGAACTGCAAGGTAATGGCCTTGAAACAATACTGCAAAGCAGTTAAATACCGTTAATAACTATAGGTGATTAGATAATTCAAGACGCAACCTTTTTACGAAAAAATGGTGGTTTCCTGGCTAGTACTGCCAAAGGCTTGCCATGAGCCAAATCAGTAAACCAGTCGTTCCGTTCCTTTGATTTTTTCGCTTTTTCCTATAACATAAAAACAATCAAAATAATGCCAACAAAATTTTCAGATTGATACACACCTTATAACCTAAAATGATATCCAGCAATTGACAAGCGATAAGATTCAACAAATTGAAGAAATGAGAAAATGTGATGGAAATGTAAGAATTTGAGCAACATGCAATAAAATACTACAATAAAAAATAAAGTTAGAATTTTACTGGTTTTAAAAGGAAATACTGTATGGCATTTGTAGACAAAAGATAAAGCATAAAAGAGCTTACTGCATTATGACTGAACTGTTGGAAATGTATTTGTGTGCTCCCTCCCACGCTGTTTCCTCCGCTTCCGATAGTATCTTTCGTAATAGCACTTCCTGCACGCTTTCTTTCTTTATCAAGATTTGCATTCAGTTCCATTTTTTTCGCCATTATTTGCATTACTAATTGAGCCCCACGTAACATCGTATCATCCAAACGATCTAATCGTGGCATCTAAAACCATTCCTTGTTATCTTACTTCAACAATGATTGCATGATAATTCAAAAGGTCATAATAAGTGTATGTGGGATAACATTTATGCAGCTCGCAAAAAAACCTACACTGCAAACCATTTATTCGTTCCGTTTAATTCGTTTTGATTAAAGTAATTATAATTCAGTTTAAGAATTAACGTAATAGTAAATAATCTGCTATGAAATAATACCTTGACATTATAAACAATTGATTCATGTTCATAAGATGTCACGGCAACTTGATAACCCTTTTTCAAACGATCTGCCCCTAAATTATCTTCTTCCTGCTTTGCCTAAAAAAGATAAGAGATAATTTCGGTGGAAAGAATAACCAGTTATTTAAAAATTGAACACATATAGAACAAACATAAGAAATGATTTTTATAAAGAGCTTGTGATTTGTGATTATATATGCTAGAAAACCTGCACCACAGCAGAACATCAGAAACATGAACAATAACTACTACCGTTTCATGCATTATGATAAAGTTCGAGATACAGCAAAGCTTCATTTTGTTTTTTAATTGCAATTTAGATTCATAAAAAGAAAATTTAGCAAAGCAAAAAAGCTAAATTTAACTAACATCTTGCGGATAAACATCAGGTGGTCCCAGTCGGTTTCTCTTCAGGGCTCTCCTTTCAGGTGTCTGATAATGCCATGAGATCACGTTTAAACTTTTCATTCCTTTTTTATCCTCTAATGTTCAAATTCTTGCCATCATTTCTTGTATGTTGTAAGATAGATTTTATTAAAAGTATACGATAACATATTAAAATACTCGACAATCAAAAATAAACAATAAACATCCGAAGTCGAAAATAAACGTATTATTTGAAAAAACATGCATGATTTAATTTCCCATTTATTGAAAAATTTGTATTGTCAGAAAAGACATAAAATATTTAAAGAAAAAGTCAAAATAAATAAGTTACACCTATTCTCTAAAAATGAACGTGCCAGTTAAGGGATAAGCGTGAAACAAATATCATCTAAAACCAATGTAGATCTTGAAAAAAATATGTAAATTCTTTACGAGATAAGTTCAGTCTAATATAGAAATATACGTGAAATAAATGAGTCGCACGCCTGACTTCACCTCAAAATCACGGAAGTCATCAATTGTATTGATGTCTAATTCCGGATTATGATTGTTGCATTTCGACTACGTGCATCAAATGCTGCAACGAAATGGCGCAAAATACTTTTAATGTTTTAAGTGTGAGAAAGTTTTGACGTTTCACACGCAAGATAATTTGAACGTTTTTCGTGCAAGATAGTTTTGATGTTTAGAAAACTCAGAGTAATAAGAATGTTACTGCATACATTATTCTGGGTCGAATTTTGTAATAACATTATCGGTATGACAATGCGTAACATATTTGAGTGACGTAAATCACGTTCATTATTTGCATAATTGTAAAATTTGAATTAATTAATATGAAATATATAAGTACTCGAAATGCCGAATCATTTCATCATTTTTCTTTATCAATTTTATGATAGAAGGTTTATTCGTTATGCTTAATTCTGCAAGGGAATTACAATCTTATCGATTATCACCGTCCACGACAGATTCTCATATTTTAGATGACACACCGTTACTGGTGCCATTACTTACTCATATATCTTTTTGATATTCATGAAATATAAGCAAGAATATGTTATTTGAGATTTGAACTAATGGCTAAATTAATCGGGAATGAAATCCTACCTCAACACTTGTGAATTTTGTTCGAAAAAAAATTGGCCAAAAAGATATGAGTAAATGTGATGCAATAAATATGAGTCGGATATCGAAATATGAATACGAAAATATCTATCGGAATGAAGATAAGGAAACTGATAGTGATAATGGGAACAAAAAAGAGGGAAAATAGTAAGACTGCAATCTTTCTCGATGATAATCAGTAAATGACCGTGCATTTTACTGATTCATCCGCCTGATCCGCTTCATACTGTAGCAATTTAATTTCAATTATTTCCTGATGATAGCATTTGACAGGTATCACTTTCCTTGAAGAATTAATAAATAAATAATAATCAATTTTTTTTAGTCACAAAAAACGAAGCCAGAAAATGACAGTGAATTTAATGCAAAAGGGAACGTGCAGAAAAGTATGAAAATTTTGAATGAAAGCATTAGCATAACAGAAAGTGTAGATTCTGAAACTACAAGTAGTGCAAAAAATACCGAGCAAGTGAGTGCTTTTTTTTCAAATTTTATAGGACATAATTGAGAGAGAGAAATGTAAAAGAAGGAAGACAAGAGGAAATACCGAAGTTTGGGAAAAAAGAGTGCTAAATTTTGACAACAAAAGGAAAAAAATTGAAATTTGTGGATTCTCGAAATGTTTGCACTCCAAATTGTTATTTCTCATGAAAGTTATGCCTTTTGCAAGACCGATAAGAACAAAGAGAGATGATAAATTGAGTGAGAAAATGATAAGAAAATAACCTAAGATTGCTAGCATTCTTGTTTCCTGACATAGTTCTGGTTAGTAATAAAATATTTTTTTTTTACAGTCACTAATTACAATGGAATCATTTACAGCTATCGAAGATGATACGGTTGAAAAGAAAGAGGTAATGAGGTTAAATTATAATAAATTAGCACTTCATTTAGCGATTTTGCAAATTACATTTAAAAAATTAAAAGAATTAAAAGTAATTTAGTAGAAATCAATTTAATAAAAATTAAAATGAATCAGAAACAAATTATTTTTTTTAGTTTTAGTTTCAATTCATTTTAATTCTTACTAAACTGATTCGTTTTTGCGATTTACTTTACAAAAAAAAATTTGTTCTTATAGCATACAATCAAAAAAAGCCATTGTTCAGCAACAAAAATTGTAAGTTATTGCACAGTAATTTTTCATTTTAACATTATTTTCAAGTCTAGCTAGCAAATTTTCTTACTCTGAATATAATAAATATTACTAAAAGATAATTAACACTATGCTAATCAGTAGCAGTAAATTTTTAAACAAATACACGTGATCACAAATTACCTTATTATGAATTTATATTTATTTGCTAAAAAAATCGTACCAGTTACAAAAATCATAATTTAATTGCAATATGTATATATGCACTCTGATTTATTTGTAATTCTGTTGAACATTTTTTTTAAATAGCATAATTAGTGTTTATTATAAGCTGATACTATCTGAGCTGAAATAAAATTTCATGTTTAGCTTTTAGAACTATCAGATCGGAGATTAATCATACAACTAAATGCTATTTTCTAAAATTTCCCTGCAATTCTTTCACAATATTCTTAATTATTCGAATTTAAATTTTAGGACAACTCATCTGTCATATCGTTAAGTTCATTCTCAATTTCTTCTCGACTACGAAAACATGATGATCATTGCAGAAGGTAAAAATCATCGTGCAAATTAAAATTTATTTTGAAATGAATGAACCAGTGAATAATATTTAAAATGTAATGGTTAAAATGATATGAATTGATTTTTTTGAAGCAATATGAGAAAATGGACAAAGGGAAATAATGCATGAAGGACAGAGATGATTTGCTGGCAGAAATCAATTTCAACTTATTTAGGTCAAATTTCAATAAAACTTTAAAATGTGATAAGAAGAAAAACTGCTGAAGTAAAAGGAAATGATTCTAAACATACAGCTATTCTATTTAATTACTTGAAAAAATGATTTCACTTTAATTTATTGATTTACTATATAAATTTAGGGAATATCGGAAACATGTGTGGCATGCCCGAAGCGAGTTAAAAAAGCACGAAAATAGGAAGGATGAGAGAAAATTTCTGGAACTTTTGGATGAATATAAGTAAGTCTCATAGTTCTCTTTCTTCATTTGAATTGTCATTGGGTAGTTTTTTTCTTAATTTATCCTCTTATAAAATAAGAGGATTTCAGTGAATATGTATTAAAAACAATACAGAAGTTAAACTATTTCAAAATATCAAAATAGTAATCATATCGTATTATAAAAATAATTTTATATTATGAATATTCTATACATTTTTCTTTTGACTCAATATTTAGCTTATAAAAAGTTAATATACTTATTGGAATAGAATTTTGAAATGAATTTATACTTCTTAATCAAATGTATTATTAAATTTAACCCATATCTTATCAGCAGCAAAATTCATATCAATACTACAGTATTGAACTTTAAAGAAAAAGTGAACGTATAAAATATTACAAATGTACCATATCAATTGATATTTATATTTGTATGTAATGAACAATTAAAAAAATTTCAATTTTAAATTTAGACAAAAAAAATTTGTTTTGAATTGCATATGCAAACGAACACGCTGGAGTTGGTTTAATAATCTATGGGGAGTTGTTACAAATATTTTTCGTTTCATCCGACAATTTATATGGTGCTGTTGTTGTCCACCCATTTTAGGTTACTGTTTAAATAAGGTAAATATCAATTGTTTGATTCTTTTTGTTCCTTTACACTTTTTAGTTTTTATTAATTAATTAGCACATATTCATTCAGATTTTCATTCACTTTCATTTCATTTAATTAATGCGATTGTATATTTGATTGATGAAGTTATTTTATTTGCTTCTTTGTTTAATTTAAATTTAAATATTCATAATATTACATATATCGCTCGGTTATTTCAGATAGCATTTTGGCCACCACCACGTGAATATTACTTCTTTATTGATGATAACACACAAAGTATTGGTAAAAGTGATAAGGAACCATTAACCCGACAATATATTGTTCGAAAAGCTAACAAGTAATTCATAATTTTTTGCTAACATTGTCTAGAATTTCGTTTACTTATCAACTACAAGTTTGCACTGAATATGACATTACTATCAAAATTAGTAAAAGTGTCATCATAAGGTAAGGTCAATAAGTTTATCGTGAAAAATTACGGGATCAGTTTTGGAATGTCTTATCTTCCTTTGCTTTAATATTTCTTTCGTTGATATTTCAACAATGATAGATTTATTATAATAAAATTAAAGAATTGGCTACAAGCATATGTTTGCATTCCGAAATTTTATTGAAATTAAAGGATATTTCTTCTGGTCTTTGTCTAAAATCAACAGATATCTCTAATTCTTTTTTGCACTCTCTAAATAAAGCTTTAATCATTAGAAAAGAAAAGCAATGCTATCACTTTCATAAATTATTTTTGCATTTCAGTAAATTTAAATTTTGAATTATAGAAATTGCCTGAAACGAAAAGATTGGAGATTTGGTTTTGAGCATCAATGTGCTGCTGAAATATTTGGAATCGAGTGTTTTGTTACTGAAACAGAAAAGAAGAATGTTAATTGTGTTTTGTCTTTGTTGAAATTTTAAATTTTCAATACAGATTGTTAAACAGTGCTAACGAATTCGATGTCGCAGGCTATTTATCATTTAGTAATGATGAAATGATAATTTTAGCATATCGCGTGTGTATTTGTCCGAAAATCAAGACCGCGTTACACGTTGTTGTTTTCACATCCAAATGGCAGTGATATATCTGATCATCTTGTTGGATTACCTAATTTGCATGATGCAGCAAGGTTGACAAATGTATTTTAATATATTTCTAGTGAATGTTAATAAAAATTTAGCACAAATTATCTCTTGCTGATAAGTGTTTGATCATATGACTTAGTATGATCCAAAGTTTGCCAGTTAAATATAAACTTCTTGACATAACTTAGATGTAAGTCAGTTTTACCAACTAGTATAAAAACTTTTCCATATTATACTATGATCTGTCAAAACATTTAATTTGATTCAATTATTGCTAAAACTATAACTGTTGCCTTTATCCGTAAGAAAATATTTTTGTTGAATTTTTTTATTTATTATCCACTTGGGACATTATAGTTATTTAATTTGTGATTGATTATTTTTTAAAACAATAATTTTTTTCCATTATAGATTCTTTAATTGCAATATATGTTCATACGATTATAGCGGTTATGGTATTAGCGAAGGTAATCCAAGTGAAAAAAACATGTATTCGGATATCAGCGCTGTCTATAAAGTATTTCCTATTAGTGTTATCGACTTTTGCTACGCATTTTTGAATATCATTCAAACAAATAAGCCTTGCACTAATTTGCTATCTTTTTCATATATCTGCTAATATTTGTTCAGTTAACTTGCACAGTGATATTTTATAGTATCTATTGGAGGATTTATCTATTCCGGAAGCAAATATCATCCTATGGGGTTACAGTATCGGTACGGTTGCATCGATAGAATTAGCAAAACAAGCCAGTAAACTTGCTGGCTTAATACTTTTGGCACCAGTAGCATCGATTATACGAACGATATGTTGGAGGAAATGTTGTTGGGATCGAAGTGAACAGTGCGGTCGTTTAGCTGATTGTTGCAGTGATCGATTTAATAGCGTTAAAAAAGTTTCTTTTTCGATATAGCTTAAAAATTTATGGATATGCAAAAAAGGTTATATCATACAATCTTATTTAAAGATAGCCTAGTAGCCTAGTAAGATTACAATAGATCATTTTGATAGACATACGTCTTAGTAATTATTGTCTTGCATATTTTCTAACTTTTGCAACAGCATATTACGATTTTTATTTATAGTTTTGCTTAAATCCGCTTAACGAAATTAGTGCGAACTAATTTGCATATTCAAATTAGCATAAATTAAATCTTTTGTTTAGCATTAATAAAAAGTGTCTATCCTTTTTATTAGATTGGTGAAATTAAAATGCCAACACTGATAGCACATGGAGCACAAGATATGATTGTAGCAATTGAGCATGGAAAAGCATTATATCAATTATGCCCTGGGGCTGTAAAGCCATTATGGATACCAGATGTTGGCCATAATAATCTTGAAAATAGCACTTTATTGTGGCACCGAATGCGAAAGTTTATTAACAGGTTGATAAGCACTTAAATTTTAATTTCAATAATTTAAAACTTTTGAGAAATTTTTCCCAGCAGTTACTTAACAACATTTTCTCCTTTTTATTACAATTTTTTTTCACAGAATTCAAATCAGGTAAGAATGAAAAGGCATGAATGTGTAAGAAATGCAGAAAGTCAAAATTTTAAAAATTAAAAATATACAGATATTAAATTAAACATGAATTAATTTCAGGGAAGCACGACCACCATTGCAACGAAAAGTCTTCCAAACAACATACAAAAAGCATATTAAAGATAGAAAGCATTTATAAAATGGAATCTAAAAAGAGATAAGAAAATAAATTTAATGAAAATCTGTAATTCTGATTATGAATTTGTAATTAATTACATTAGTACCTTATTTTTCCTTCATGTCATTTGCATTCTTTACCAGATAAAATTATTCATTTTTTAACAAAATTTGTGAAATGAATCCTAACAAATTTTCAAAATTGAGAATAGAACAGTATAATTTCTTTAACTTATTTTTTTTATTCGTTTTCAATGTGTCATGTCATGCAACCAAATAGTGCAAAATTGATTTGAATTGTTTAGCAATTATCACTTTGCTCTGCAATTAATCAAAAAATTCTCTTCCATTTATTTTTTATTAAATTCTCAGTGAAATATAAATTTATTTGAATATTTCAGTAATAATTATTGCAAAACATGTAATATTTTATGCTACTATTTGACACTAAAATTAAAAGAATTCAACGATTGTGGCCTAAATGTTCGACAGAACCGGAGAATATAAAAGTTTATCATATTGTACCAATCATAGTCGTCTTATTTGGTTTTATTTCATTTCTAGTAAAATGAGTCAGTTCAAAATCATTATTTCAATTTGTACTCAGACTCAATTAGAATCACGTCGGCTACGACGTGATTCTGATAAAGTTCGGCTACGACGTGATTCTGACAAAGTTGGCGAGGATGTCAAACGTTTGGCAGCAAATGAATGTGCTCGACGACGCTGGCGTGGTATAATCACTAAATATTCTGATATTCCCTGAAATAAACTAATTGCTGTTAAAATTTAAATTTCGTAATAAGTTTTAATTTAATAGCATGCAATTGAATAACAAAGAATTGAAGAACTCAGTTATTCTTAATTGTACACTAAAACAAAAAACTTACTGATGGCGATGTTGATGGAGTAGAAATATCAATAACTTCAGCAGTATGCAAAGCTTCATCCATTAAATCAGGTGTGAACTAAAGTAATTAAATCTGAAATTAATGACAGCCAGAAAAAAGAAGTCATCCAAAACATTGCTTTACTGAAGTAAAGTATTGGATGTTTCTTTTTATTCTTATCTTTATTTTTATCTTTTGGTTATTACAGCAAGAAATTTATATTTTTTGGCTATATGTTATTTATGAATGAGTGATTAATTATAAGCGAAAAAAAGACGGAACCGGAGCGACTTGTGTATCCCATACGACGAAACTGACCGGTTCATCGTCTTCCGCTTCCGGGTCATCATCTTCCATTTGATTATATATTGTCTGCAACGTATCCGCCGACATTATCACCATAAATTTATCCTGCAAACAATTTTCATCATCATTTTTATCATTTATGTCCTTATATATTAAAAAAATTCCGCGACATCTAAAAGATAAAAAAATGTCATCAGTCATTGATTTTTGTTTAACTTACATCTGTATCGTAAGTAAATGCCATTTCAATGTTTATTCACGATTTACAGAAATTTTCCAAAATCTGAAATACATGAAAACAAGCGTAATGTTTAAAAATATATTTATTGATTATTTCATTTAAACTTACATAATCGATCACCATATCTCATCCTGAATGTTTCAAGAAATTTTGTAATAGCATTTCCTTACAACGTTATGGATTACTTAATCATTCTCGATCGTACAAAAGACATGATTAAGTCAAGCGGATTAAGTACCAACCGCCTAAGTGCGAGCAGAATAATAGAAATAGAAGTTGTTAAATTTTTTTCAAAAATTTAAACTCATTTTTGAATAAAATTCAAAAAGAAAAATTATGAAATATAAATTTATAATTCTATTTGTCACATTTTTGATCATTTTATATCAATGGTTATGCTAAGGCTATGCCTTCTCATTACTTTTATTACAACCATTCAATCAACATCACTTCAAGTAATTGGAATTATTGAAAGGAAAATTTACGCAAGTTTTTCTTTAAATATTAATATTTTAATTGCTTTGAGTTGAAAAATTTTACAATGAAATAAAAAGACGATGAAATAAATCAAATTGAAACGATATGAAGCATTGTAAGTAAAATAATTAAAAGTAAATTAAATATTGTAACAATAAGTTAGAAATTTTTTGTTTGATGTATGAACGATGGATTTGCTGATTTATTTATTATAATAATAAGCATGAAAGATAGAAAAGAGAGTTGGATTTTTAGAAGTCGATTTAAAAATTGTATACTTGTCCAAACATTGGGAAAAATATGAAATTATTATAGATCATATAAAAGAGAAAAGTTTAAATTGAGTAATTTAATAAGAGCGGACAATCAAATAGCAAAATTAAGCAAAAATAATTAATTAAGTATTAAATTCATGTTATTAAAATAAAGATTATTCATCATATCGTCGATTATAATGGCATAAACATTGATGTTTGCGCTTCATATGTTATTACTTTCCGAATTCAACATTTTTCAAATTGATTTTTAACAAATCACTAAATGCAATTATAATGTTTGCCGGAATGCTAACAACCATAAATAATATTCATTTAGGAAACGGAAATAAACGAATTAAAAATGGCTCTAAATGAATGTTGCACGGAATGCGCTAAACCGCACGTATCATTTCCCGTTAGCTCAATATATATCATTTGTAAATGTTATAATGATTATATGATAAATTCGAATCGTATTGTAATTTTCCACTTGACAAAAGTCAATTTTACGGTATAATACATGTTTTATTTTCTTACTTTACGTATTTATATGTAGTTTCTTACTTTTTTACAGTATGCATATGTTTCTTTACTTTGCATAATATTTTATCAAGATTTGAAAATGATAATATAACAAGTGAGAAAAATGTTAAAAAATTTGATTGACTGACATTAAATAATTCAATTCTCCAAACATTTAATCATTAGGAAATTAATAAATTATTAGCACAAACTTCTTCAGTAGATATACTGCTATATTTGTACGATTAAATACAAATGTAATGTTTTTTATTTCTTTAGCATGAAGTATGCAATGGATATTTGGATAATGTTGAATTCAACGAGAACACATTGCAGTTGTCTGTAAATTGCTGTTTAACAATTAATAACGAATGTTCCATCTTTAGAAGTAACGATCATAACAATAAGGTATTGAAGCTTGCATTAGAAAGGATTAATAAGTAGGGCATTATCAGAAGATTGAAAATTTTCTTACTGATATGAGAAAATAATTAATGCATTCAGTTTCGATCATTTGATCAAGCTTTCGATACCGCTTACAATTATGTCAAAAGATTACGAAAATAATTATTACTTCAGCTATTTCAAATCATGATTTCTCTTCAGATTATTATATTCTTACATTCTGTCTAAATCATTTGCAATTTCTGATAAATGAGAATTATTGAGCAGAATGAGGAAATTTAAACTTGACTAGTGCAGTTTTAATCTAAAATTGAAATGATTAAATGGCATCCTTTGAATAGACATCGACATATGTCATAAAAATATTTGTTATAAATTATGATTTCAAATTTCATTTGGAAGAAGCAGCACGAAATGTCGAAAAAGCTACAAGTATTGAAAATTTTTTCTTTTAATTAAATAAAAATGATGTCGGGATTGTTTTATAGATATTAACTTCATTAGACAAATATTTATTTAAACCGATCAGGAATTGATAAATGAAATTACCGAATTTTATGTTAATAAAATAGAATATTTGCTAGCATCTTATTTATCTTATTTATAAATTTCAAAACTTCATGAATCCGAGTGATTGTTATTTCTATAATTTGACTAAAGATTCAAATTGGTTTCATACCATAAAATTACAATCATAAATTTCTCTAGAAAAACAAATTAATGATAAAATTTAGAAGAATAATAAAATGATGTCGTGTATTTGTATTTTAATAGCAATTTAATTAAATTCAATGAAATTTAAAGGAGCGATGAGAAGTGCATGGCTTGTTTTTGGTATAATTCTCATAATACTAATATTACTCTTACTCACTGATGTCTTCATCAAATGTAGACGTTATTTTAAGGTTTAAAATTTTAACTCATTTGATTAAGCATGCTGTTTTCCTTTTGAAAACTTTTCAGTTCCTTACATTTAAAATCAAATTTTGAAATTAAGTACCACGTATTTTTTTCAATTTCAAAATTATGTAAAGAATTCAGAAACATTTAAGCATTCCAAATATTGACAGTTCAGAAATTAATAAAAACACCAAATGGTATTTAAGTAAAAATAATGAATGATACCATCTAATTTCTCTGATTTAAACTTCATTTCTTAAATATTTGTCTCTTAATTGAACAATTAATTGAACTGATATTAGAGAAAAGTGATTTTGTTTCAATTTCTTATTAATATTCCAACTTTTATTTTCCTGTAGACTGTATAATTTTTCATAACTTTTTCTTTTTTACAAATTTCAATGTTTTAAAAAATTAAATTTCAGCAAGCAAATTTCAATGAACCGATATTACCAATATTATATGATAACGAATAAATATGATATTCATTACTTTGAAAATTTCATTTATCGTTGATGTATCAGATGTTATCAAATATTAAAATGGAAGTGGGGTAATTAATTACTGATTAACCGTCAGCAATTAATTGAAACTTTGCAAAAATTAGAAAAATAATAAATTGTTTAATCATTGTAATGTGTGCACATATTTATCATAACTTATCATTACAAATGAAAAGTAACGAAGTAAATGTGATAAATCATTGTTTAGGACTAAGTTAACAATTAAAATAATGGTTGTTGCATTTTGCAATATAGGAAATTTAAGGAAAAAAAGCCAACAAACTCATAATTTATCGTCATTTCCTGTTAACATAATCATCATATCATATGAAATTATATCTCATTTAAAATAATTCTTTCTAATTTGCAATGAAATTTAAACTCATAAATATGATAATCGTTTAATGCGATTTTTTTTTTTTTGTTTTACAACAGTTATTATAATTGGAAGCTATAAATGGGATGTCTGCAGCATGTAAATGCATTTTAAACTTTTCGTTCATCGATTCACCGAACGTTATATGAATTTGGATTGCTGACATTGCAATTTGTCCAAAACTTTTCAAAATTCTGATTTTAACACAGTGACATTTTATTCAGTTTTTTTGCTTTACAAAACGTTATGTAATGCAAATGTGCCACATGCAAATTATATTCGATTTCATCGTTGCATTTTGTTGCACGTATATTTGCCATTTGCTTCAATACGAATTAAATTACTAATAAGGTGCAAATTTTAGTCTGAAAAAAAAAAGCAAAATTGATAACAATAATTTTTTTCATCTTCTAAATTCACTGCTACAAAGTTAATAATTTTTCAAACATCAGAAGCGTTGATTGTAAAAGTAAAATGATATCGGAAATAGAAAAATAAAATTAAAATGTCATTTTAAAAATGTGTAACAAGTAGCACGTAGAAAATCTCACAATTTCCATTATTTTTTTTTAGAATTTTATGGCAAATGACTAAATGACCATCTTCGTTCAGGAAATGATGGATAGAAATATCCTCGTGATTGTTGAGATCGCATATTACGAAATGAATTCATTAAAATTGTTCTACGAGTATGACGTGGCCTGACGATACGGTTAATGAGAGAGACGTTTTGAAATGGATTGAATTGCAAATGTCGTAGTGCTTGATATGATGACATTGATGGCCAACTATGCAAATGTTGTGAAATATCATCAGTATTATTCTGCAAATTTCAACAATTTTGAATCAAAATGAAGAAAAGATATATCAAAACCGCACCTTAAATTATATTTAACTTGTTTGAAAGAAATAAAATGTATGTAATATTTGAATAAATGATAAAATTCTAATCCAAGTTTAAAAATTTTATTTTTTTTCTTAAAAGCTTCATGTTGTAATTATAAAAATGTAAGCACAATTTTAAAAAATTCGATTATCTAGTTATTTGATATAATATGTTGCATGCAGATAATATGATTGAATACAATCTAGCAATTACTCATCATATTTATTGAAATATTTGAAATGAATTTTAAATCTTTACTATTTGTACATTTTGCTTTTAGGAGATGTATGTAAAAATAAATAAGAAAAATTATTTTAAAATTTAAGAATTACATCTGAAGTAGTTGTCCAATCCATGACATCATCAACAACGACTGCTTCTGTATTATCAGTTGATCTGTAATACTTATTTACTATTCCCTAAAAACAGTTGCAATTGGCAAAAAGTCCGGAAAAAATTTTTAAAAATTAAAAATAAAAGAATAAAAATATTGCAATTGCTTACATATTGCTATAATTTATTTTTTAGAAGCTTTTATTATTTACTTTTGCAAATTTTTATCTTAATTTTGCATATAAGGTAATTATGAAGAGTAGCAATTCAATGATTGTGGCATATTAAAATCAGAATTTCTGACAAATGTGATAAAATAAGATCATAAAATATTTATATAACAAATTCATCACAATGTCAATTCTCGTAAGACATTATAGGTTTAAGTACCAAACTTATGATTGCTTAGAAGAAATTATTGCCTTAAATTATTTTAATGATCTTTATGAACAAAGAATTCGAAAGAGGTCTAATTGTTTACACTACTTGTAAACAATAAAATCTATTACAGAGATTAATTTATTTAAGATTTAATGATAAAATAAAAGTAATTAATTCCGTAAATTTTGCGTAGAATTAGTCAAAATAAAACGGCTAATATAATTTTGAATAGCGTATTTATGAATTTGATATGTGAAAGGTAGTTTTCACTAACATTTTTAGTACTTAGCCATTGCTAGAAAATTTAGTTCATCTTTATTTTCAGTGATGAAAAACAATCCGTTATTATTTGTCTAATTATTAAATGATAATTGTTAAATCTTAATTTTATATTATTCTAGGAAAATTCGATGTTTTATAATCACGCAAATAATTCATCCTTCATCTATATAAAGTTAGGTCAAAGTTCACATCATCTCATGTGTAAACATAAAGAGGAACAAAACTAATACAAATGCTACAGTTGAGATAGGTGAAATGGAAATGATCGAGGATTTAATTATCCGAAAATGAAGTGCTTTTAAATAATTGATTCCATGAAATAACTTTGCTGAGTCATTCCTAAATCGGTCACATTTCTACTTCTATTAGCTAACCTATATTGAGCGTTTTGTCTTTCAGTATCATCCGTTAGTTCCTGTACAAATTCATTCGGATCCATGGCATTATCATCACCCCAATGATCAGTATGGTCATGTACGTGTAGGAATTCATCATCTGATGATGATAACATCTCTTCATCAGTTTCATAACTTTCCGCGTTGTTTTCAGTCCAATCGCTTCCACTATCTGAAAATATTTATTAAAATATCAAATTTCTTCTAAAAATAATATGTTTCCAAGCTTATCCATTATTGCTTATCATATATTTAAAAGGGAAGACTTGAAAATGGTAGGAAGAAATATCAAAACATAATAATTCAAAAAAGTTTTTTTTTTTCCAGACACTACTAAAAAATTTGATCTGATGGTGGTGATTTCAAATCATTTAGAATTAATAAAACTAAACACTTAACCTATTGATTACGATCATTTTGGGAATTTAACCTATGATATATCATGAGAGAAATAATATATTTTCATGATTGAAAAATTTTTTTAGCGTTTTCAGAAAATTTGTAGTTAGGTCAGAAGAGATAAGCTGTGCTGCAAAATTGATTTATCAATTTTCCGATGATCTAAGCGATTATGTTTGGGTAACAGTTTCGAGAAATCCCAAATGTTTTATTCAAAAAATCAAAATAAAATGTAAATTATAGAAAAGTCTAAAATTTCACAGATAATCATGCAAGTATGATGAAAAGTTAAAGTGCCAAAAAAAATTGAATTTTGACAAATTTAACGAAAATTTATTCTCCTTTCCGAAATAAATAGACTAACATAACTCTTTGTATGGCAGAATGATGAATCTGACTCCTTTGACCTCTCTGTTATCATAATTTTACATTTGAACTGACAAGTTGTGATTTTTTTTGAATTCTATTAATGCTTAAGTTGATTTCAAGATATCTCAAGATAAATTCAAGCCATTTATATTATTCATTTATTTTTTGCTTTATTATCAGATTTTATGAGAATACATGCGGAATACATCCTACTTTTCTTTTTTCCTCGATTGTTGCTGAAATTTATCTTTCTGCTACAATTGAAAAATGATTCCAATACGCTACTATCAGGAAAATGCTCAAGAAGATGTGTAATCTTTATCACATCCTAACCCGTATCTCATGATCATAATTAACTTTTATAAAGGATGAATTTGACCTGAATTGTTATTATCATTATCATCGTCATCTATAGGCATACGTTGAACGCGTATTAATTCTCTATTATCATCAGGTTTCACTTCGTGTGTAATTCCGCCACCACGTAATTTTAAAAAATTTGTCATCCGGTCTAACAAATTATTCATCCATTATATTAAAATTAGTATTTTTTTCTAGTTACGTGAAAAAAATAAATTATCAAAAATTTCTATCAAATACATAAATGTAGAAATAATTCAATCTTAACAACTTTTTTTAGTTAGAAAAAGATTTTGCAATTATTTTTTAATTAAATTCATTTAACTAATCTTTGCTAATAATCCTAACCATGACAATATCGATAACAATTCTTACAATTTCCAGTTATGAAAAAATCATTTCTAATTTCGTTTCTAGCATAATAT